CACCTTCAGTAGGAGAGGGGTGGAGAAGGACGCATTATGGAAGACAGACAGGAATGCATCAAGGAAGACGGGGAGGGATGTAACATGGAAACATGTAGGATGTACTAGGAGGTGGCTCACTGGTCCAGGTCTAGAACCCCTGTCTCTGCCTTCAAGCTTACTAAGTTGCTTTCAGGCCACATCTAGGCCTCTCATCAAGTTCATTTACAGTCATTAGGACACTGACTTGTGTGATAGTCTTACAAGACTTGTATAAGTCTCCAAAAGGTTGGAGCTTACAAACTTCACTTCCCAGTGAGTGTGGTGAATGGTGCTAGCCTAGGTCACCAGACCTGCTTCCTGTAGTTCTAACATTGAGATCTGGCACCTTGGTACAGGTGGCTGGTTAGATTCCGGTTTTCTCAGGTCTCTTTCTAAATTCTGCTTTTGGCCAATTCTAGAAAACATCCTTGAAGCAGATGCATTCCAGAATAACTCCTTTGTCACAGGAACTGGTGATGAGGACTAACTCTTAGTTGATGCTATCTGAAGATGAAATAACCCATCACTATGCACAATGAATTTACACCAATAAAAAGGTCAAAATAACTGGATACTAGCTTGAAATGTGTTGTAGACAAGGGTGCCCTGCCTGATATTTTCTGAGGTTTTTTGCTTGCCAGAACCCTGTTCTGGTCCAGGTAGTTCTACCAGGAAGCAATCAATGATTCCTTTATGTTATCCTAAGACCAAGGTCAGTAAGCTTTTCCTGTAAGGTCAAAGGAATAAATTTAGGCTTTGTGAACCAAGATGTTAGGAATGTTGACACATTACCATAAAACATTATTCTTTTGACTTTCCCCCATTTTTAGTTTGTGAGTGTGTGGTAGTTTGAATGAAAATGGTCCCCATAGACTCATAGGGACCATTGGAGGAAGTGTGTCACTAGGGATAGGCTTTGATGTTTCAGAAGCTCTATCCAGACTTTAATGGCTTGCACTCTCTTCCTGCTACCTGTGGATCTAGTGTAGAACTCTCAGCTATCTCTCCAGCACCATGTCTATCTGCATTCCACCGTGGTTCTGACCATGATGATAATGGACTAAACATCTGAACTTTAAGTCAGCCCCAATTAAATGTTTTCCTTCATAAGAATCACTGTAGTCATGATGTCTCTTCATAGCAGTAGAAACCCTAAGACGGGACAGTACTAAGTCAGGTGGAATGCTGAATTTGGCTGGCAGAATTTTGGAGCCCTTTCCAAAACTAATCCCATCTGCCTTCCCAGTCTTTTGTACAAGAGTCTACCTCTGGCCATTAAGGGTATGTGCGATTGCAGGGCAGGTGTGGGTCTGGGCCAGTCAGTGCTCGATGACTGGAGGGAGGTGCCAGCTGCAGCTGCAGTTGAGAGCCTCTCGTTCTCAACCTTGAACAACATGCCATCGGTCTCAGGGAACCAAAGAAGAAAAACCCTCAGTGAAGACCATACAAGCAGACGGTACAAGCGTGGGACTTCTAGCAACCCTGCAACTTGTCAGGTGGGAAAAATAATGCCTTGGATCAGTGTCTTTTAGTGCTCACGGTCTCCCTAGCTGATCCAGTGTGCTAAGATGTCAGTATTATCCCCCTCTCCTCCCACTTTCTGAGCAGCTCCCTTCTCCCATGCTGGGGCACAGATGGCATTTGTTCTCTGTGACCATTCTACTCCCATCTGCCTCGCCTGCTGTTAGATTTGACCCCAAATTAGCCAATCTGTGATCTGGCCAGTGACCCATGATCTCTTTGGCTTGGCTCTAAAGCTGAGTGGGACCAATGTGATTGACTCTCAGGTAAAGGAGCTAACAGATGACATGATGGCTCAGTGGGAAAATGTGCTTGCTGCATGGCCTAGGCACCCGAGTTCGATTCCTGAAACCCATGTAAGAGATGGAAGGAGAGACTAACTCCATAAAGCTATCCTCTGAATACATACATGCACACGCATGAACACATGCACACGCATGCTTGTGCGTGTACACCCCCCCACACACCAGTAAAAATTCATTTGGTAGAGTGTGTTATGAAAAGATGACACTTTTCTGGTTTCTGGCAAGCTGGGAAGCAGTGAACACACACACCTTGGTGGAGCCAATTAGCGTTGGAAGACAGTTGTGCAAGCAGGGCAGCCCAAGCGCTGGCCATGCTTGTTTACTTCCGTTCCCTTTCTTTGAAAGCTCAGCGTGCGTGGCTCCATTTCCTGGACTCTGTTGATACACCCAACCCCCTGATATTGCCTTATGCACGAGAGGCAAGCACTGCCGTCCCACTGAGCTGCAGGCCTCATGTCTCCATTCCAAACACACTGTGCAGTTACCCTGTGGGCCCTTTCAGGCTAGAGCCATTTTAGAATGCAGGTCTCTGTCCTGGTCAGCGTTCTCTTAGTTTCCTCGTTCTTAAGGTACAGGTCTGGATGGGGGAAGGGAAGACAGGAAGCCCAGACCACTGGAGAGCAGCACAGAGTGCCTTTTTCTAAAGGCCTACCCCCCAGTGCCACCTGCGCCCACATGGTTCTCTGTGAGCTATTCTGGGCAGCGAGGCTGAGGACTCACTTAGCCTTTTCAAGCATCTGGATTTGTGCTTCTCTGGAGCCATAAGAAGCAAAGTGGGAGGGGGGAGCAACTACAAAAAACTCCTTCCAAGTGGACAGACGGTGACCATGTAGCCAGTCCCCTGGGGGTATAAAAGGATAGAAATAGAATCAAGGTCAAGAGGGCTCTGAGGAGTTGGAACTGTGATAGGAGGAAGGATGATGGGGATCTCAGACTCTCCCCATGACCTGTCAGCAACCAGGACAGGAGGAACCCAGGGGCTGGGTGGTGTTAGGGGCCTGAAGGGGGAGGGGGAGGGGAAGGGAGCTGGTCAACTGGAAGGCGGGTGGAGCATGGATTACCACAGAAGTGCAGGGCATATCTGCGTTTGGGGACATGAGGACTCTCATCCCACTGGATGCAGGCTGGATGGGAATGACCTGAGAGGCTATAGGACGCTTGGAGCTTGCTCGGAGCTGGGCATTTGTGAAGGAGATCTTAGAAAGATGCAAAGCCAAGAAGTTGGAGTGTGAAGGTTGCAGGGGGTGCTCACGGGCTCTGCAGGAAGTAGATGGCCTCGGGTGTGCCTGGGAGGTTGGCCACACATCTGGATTCCAAGACAACCCTAGGACTCATTTGTGTGCCAGTGCTCATTGGGATGTGGAGTGGATGAAGTTACGTGGAGGGCTGAGGAGTACAACCCGGAGGAACGTTTAGGGGTAGAGGGGAGCCTTTGGCGGAAGGAGGAGAAAGGGGAAGGGAAGCAGGAATGAGCATGAGTTAGTTTCAGCAGGACTGCACATCAGGAAAGGGTGACACCAGAGCAGATGCCATTCGCATGGGGCTGAAGCCAGAGGTCCCTGGTGAGTTGCAAAAGCACCCGGGTCCGCGGAAGAGCGTGGGAAATAAGGAAAGGTGAGTGTTAGTCAGCAGCTAGGATCCTGGGGGTGGGAGCAGGAATGAGGGATGGGGATGGGGACTTGGACAAACAGTGGTGTCCTTTAAAGCTCGCTTCAGTCATTGTCACATCTCATAGGATCACCCTTTCCTCAACCATAAATGCCTCCAGGCCGTATCCTTTAACATCATGTGAGGGCAGAGGCCTCAAGTCTTACATGCAGCTCAGAGACAGTCTCTAGTCAAATTTGTAGGATGGGCTGAGGGACTGACATACCCAAGGACCCAAGGAATGATATATCCTCCCAGATTTTCCTCACATCCATTGTGATACTCCCCCACCCCATCACTATTCCATCCATCCTCTTGGCCGTGATCCTCTCATCTCCTAGGAGTGAGATGAGCAGTAGGGCTTTAGCAGCTATGAGAACAAGACCCCTGGAGGTCTCCACTGGAGATGATATTTCTGGGCTCTGCAGACTTCCCCACCTCACCAGACTCTGCTCCTGGTGTGGGGAGCAGCAGTGTGCCCAGAGGATAGGGTCCAGCCTTGAGATGATTATCACACTTGGCACAAACACCGAGTGGGCTGCCAATCCTATTACCTCCACTCCCACTGGGTGGATCCCCAAATCTAAGCTAGCTTTTGAAGCAAACCTGGCTCACTCTTACCCAAGAGGTCAATGCTCAACTACTTGACATGGGGCTATCCACTCACCGACTTCTGACTTGACCCATGGATCTCACCTCTGTGAGAAGATAGCAGGGCCTGTCCTCTAGCTTTAAGGAGGTCAGTAGGTACAACGGGGAGCGTCTTTGGTGTATGTAATGTATTTCCAGTACCTGCTATAACTGCTCCTCTGTATCCAGGTGCTTAGGAGAGGCCAGTTCTGAAAACCTAGATCTCACCTCACTTTGAAAAACACATTCTTCTAAGCCATGCTACCATTTTTTTCTTGTAAAATTACCATGAAAGGCTTGGGATTGTGGTGATGCTCCAGGCAGGCTGCTCCCTTAGTTGAGGACAGACGCTTTGGGTTCACACCACCTCTCCATGTTGGCCCAGCTTCAGGGCATTGCTTAGACAGCTGTCCTTCTAAGGGCCCATTGCTCGCGGTTATCACACCCATGCAGGCTGGATAAATGGGGTTAGTATTTTCTTTTTAGGGGCTTGCTCACGATCACAGGATGTATGCCTTTTCCCAGAGCTAAGGAATATGACTCCTAGGTGTGGGCTTTCCCAACGTCCACACACTCGTCTGCTTGGGTGAGTGTACCCTTTCATGTAATGTTTTACCAGTTGCACTGGTAGTCAACATGTTCCCTGAGGCCCTCAGAGCATCACAGATGCATCTAGGGAAGCTGACAAAAAAGTTTGTGATTTTGTGACTTTTAAAAGCCCAAAGGCTCCAAAGCCCTTTAGCCTTGCTAACAGATCCAAAGGACAGTGACCTCCATGGATGAAGAAGAGAGTCAGCTCCCAAAATATGTTTCTGACCTACCCCTCCCCGATGCTACCCCCCAAAAAACCTCCAGAAATACCCAAAGGGCAGCAACTATCAGAGATGCAGTTATGACAAAACTAGCAAGGTGAACATGGCCTGTCCTGTGGTCAAGGAATTCAGAAAGCGGGGCTCTTTGTGAATTACAGGCCAAAGATGGACAGTTCGCACAGTCTGAACAAAATATAAGCACTCTTACCAATAAATAGGTTTCAAAATGATAAATAAGGCTGGCTCTCCCTGTCGGCAGCCTGGAATCTCAGTGAGAAGTGATGGGCACAGGCAGGCACAATGAATTATGTACAGAGTGTAAACAGTAAGGCCCCTGGAGGGAGGAGTGAGGGCTGGGCCAGGTGAAGGGTGCATACACGTTAGGAATGTGGGGAGGAGGCAGTGGGCCTAGGGTGAAAATCAACAGATTTGTATGGCGGCCATCCAATACGCCACCGAACCTTGCAGTGTCGCAGGTCCTATGGGTAGGTCTACTGATTTCCTTCAGGTGGCAGGAGGAGTAGAAACTGCCCACTGATCTTTACCCTAGGAGCAGCAAAACAAGAATCTGCACCTCTTCCTCCCCAAGGCGAGTGGCCAGACCTAAAATCTTCTGCCCAGACCTCAGGACCAGATGACTAAGCAGTTTCTCAGACTGCATGAATGAGAAGGGTGAATCCTGTAATCTTTCCCTTCCAGGTAGAGGTCTAGACACCCATGTCCAGCAGGGGGAGCCATAACCCACCACCTACGGCGTGCTCCGGTCCCAGGTCCAGTTCCTGTTGCTCTAGAGTGAGATGGGGCAAGCGCTTGGATCCAAAGGCAGCATCTCAAAATGCACCTCACCCCTGGCTCCAGCACATCCCTCAACCTGGGTCTCGGTCTTTAAATGTCAGTCTCCCGGACATTGCTGTAGTCGGCTGGCTCAAAGGCAGGGCAGATGACAGCCTCTGGCCCATCTTGGGGAATGCTTAGAGACACTGCCTCAATCTCCGAGCGCAGGGCGCACGCAGCCTCCGCGCGCCGTGCGCCCCCAGAGCGGATCTTGTGGGACAGGCTGGACACCTTCGCACGCAGCTGGGTCGTGGGTCTCTGCAGCGGCCCGAGCAGCTTCCACTCCCGGAGGGCGGAGGCTGGCTTTCGACGGCCGGAGACCGGAGCCTGTGCCTCGGACGTGCCTGCAGAGCCCGGGCCCGGGTGTGCAGTGAGGGCCAGGGGTGCTCCCGGGGGCGCGACGAGCGGGCTGGGGGCACAGTCGGGGCGCTGGTCGCCTGTCGAGACTCGCCAGTGGTGGCCGTAGACGCGCCAGAGGCGGCGTCGGCGTCGGCGACATTGGCAGCGGAGGAGGCGGAGGAAGGCGCGCTTGAACTCGCGACTAGAGCAGGGGTAGATGAGCGGGTTCACACAGCTGTTGAAGTAGCCCAGCCAGAAGATGACCTTGAAGACGCCCTCGGATGGCTTCAGCTGCGGGAACAGAGAGCCTGCAGGGGACAGAGACCCGGGTAGTTAAGGGTGTGGATAGTGGGACAGCTGCCTGCCTACCTCAGCAAGCTTAGTCACTGGTAGGAGCCCTCAAGGGGGCCTTTCTCTGTGAACACACAGATGGTGAAAAAAGAATCATCTCCCTGTCTTCTGAGTCGGACCTGAAAACTATTTGGGCAGAGGCAACGAATCCTGACCAGAGTGAGACCAAACCACGTGACCCTGCAGTTTCACCAGCCGCAGCCTTCGCTAGGGAGCCCAGTTACTGGGGTCGGTGTGGAGGTCTCTTTGTGCTCCCCCCTCTCCGCAGAGGGCACCAGAAGACACCAGCATTGTCTTGTTCTTTACGGTGTTGACGTGGAAGCGTAATTCTGCTACAAGTTTCATGCAAAAATATTTTGACAACTTTTTTTTAAACAAAAAGAGTTCATTTGCAATCTTTTGCACGGTGTTTTATGGCACTCTCTCTGCAGTGTACGCTACAGCCTAAGCACAAAGAGAAAGAAGCCCAGAAGTAAGGGGTGACCAAAGTTTGTCCAGTGCTGGGTACTGTGGAGGAGTCATGGAACGCGGTGCTGGCTCCAGGGGACAGTGTGACTACCCCTGAAGCAGAGGGGTGAGTGCAGGCTCAGGGACACCTCACAACTATCCCAGACTCAGCCAGGACAGGACAGACACGGAGCCGGTGGCTGTAGAATGAACTATAGACACCCCATCTGGTCTCCACAGCGGAGGGCCTCGAATGAAGGCTCAGCTTTCACTCCAGGGTAGTTAGGAGCCATGGGTATTTTGAAGCTGGTTGGAGATACAGCTCAGAATTAAGCTTCAAGAGCCCACTACCCATGGCTGTAAAATTGCAGGACTGTGGGTCTGTTGCAGGGCAAGTGGTGAGGAAATGCTTCTGGTGTGGCTTTGGATGGGGGACAGAACACCAGGCAGGTAGGGACGGTTGCTAAGACCCTGCTTCCCATGAACCTCTTTCCTGGGGTCCCAGCATGGACCCTAAGGAAGCCACTCTCAGGGAAAGGGAACCGAGTGCAAAGAAACAGTCCATAGGATTTCTTCTCACCCGCCTTGTCCTCAGCAGAAGCTGGGGCCAGGTGCTTCATTCTAGACACAGAAGGGCAGTGTGCCCTCTCCCCAGGGGCAGCCCCCCTCCCCGGGTGCAGTCCCCCCTCCCCAGGGGCAGTCCCCCCTCCCGGGGGCAGTCCTCCCTCCCCGGGGGCAGTCCTCCCTCCCCGGGGCAGTCTGTCCTCCACGGGGGCAGTCCCCCCTCCCCGGGGGCAGGCTCCTCTCCCCAGGGGCAGAGGCACTATGCCCCACTCATCAACCACCTTCCATATCACCCACTACCCACACGGGAAACATTCCTGATGCTGAGAGGAGGTGGGAGGAGGGAGGGCAGCACCCACTGCACAGCCCAGCCTTTTGCATCCTGCTCATGTTGTCCTCACAGGCCACTCAGCAGGCCACTCTGCAGGCCACTCTGCAGGCCACTCAGCAGGCCACTCAGCAGGCCACTCTGCAGGCCACTCAGCAGGCCACTCAGCAGGCACTCTGCAGGCCACTCTGCAGGCCACTCAGCAGGCCACTCAGCAGGCACTCTGCAGGCCACTCTGCAGGCCACTCTGCAGGCCACTCTGCAGGCCACTCTGCAGGCCACTCAGCAGGCCACTCTGCAGGCCACTCAGCAGGCACTCTGCAGGCCACTCTGCAGGCCACTCTGCAGGCCACTCAGCAGGCACTCTGCAGGCCACTCTGCAGGCCACTCTGCAGGCCACTCAGCAGGCACTCTGCAGGCCACTCTGCAGGCCACTCTGCAGGCCACTCAGCAGGCCACTCTACAGGCCACTCAGCAGGCACTCTGCAGGCCACTCTGCAGGCCACTCTGCAGGCCACTCTGCAGGCCACTCAGCAGGCCACTCAGCAGGCCACTCTACAGGCCACTCTACAGGCCACTCTGCAGGCCACTCTGCAGGCCACTGAGAGTCTCACTTTCCTTTTCTGTGAATGGAGACAGTAATGCTCCTCTGGATGGGATTTCATGCAGATGCATAAATTTCAGTGCTTAGCAGAATTTTAACCCAAACGGTTAGGCTGGGAGTATAGATCACAGCTAGAGGACTCATGCAACACTTGCGAGTCCCTGGGTTCAATCCCCCGGACAGCAAGCAAATCAACCAACCAACCCACCCACTCACCTACCCCTGGTATCTACTTACTCCCCCCCGCCACCGCCCCTTTTTCAGTGACTTTTCAGAGAGGGGACCACAACCTTGGAAAGGAACCTGCCATCCATATCTAGAGAGTGGTCAGAAACAGTAACTGAACACAGTGGGTTTGTGGGCACTGAGGCTTAGTAAGGTGGATTTCTCTTGGGAGAGGGGTTAGGCAGTCTCTGGAAAATGCCAGAAGGACCTTACCCTGCAGGAAGATAGCCCTCGAGGACAGCACCCCTCAAGGGCTGCAAAGCCAGGCCAAATGCTGGAAATAACACTGTGACTCAGACTACAGTCTTTTCCATTTCACTGTGGATGACACATCAGTGGGCTATGCTTCCCAGCGGGTATTGCCAGCCTGGGCTTTATTCAGATTTGTGGACAACTTGACATGTTTTAGTACTGCCCCAGTCTCACTGCAAACACTGATACTTTAATTTATGCACAACCAACTTGTCCGGAGTCTTCCTGGAATGGGGAATTCCTCACACACGAAGGGGCTGGGACTCTGGGGCAGCCCTCCAGTCCCAGCAGTTGGCCTCCGCCTCCCTTGAGGGCTGACTTTGAGTTCCCTCAGAAGCAGGTTCTGGGACAAGTCTTAAGCTGGGAGGGAAACACCTTGTGTAGGTGCTGACACAGGGGAAGGGATGCTCATAAGTCAGCTGCCAATGCGGGAAGCTGAGGCTTCACCCCAAAGGGGCTCTGTGCCCCCCATCACCCTGCAGCTGCTTCCTTAAGCTTTTCATTTTTCCCCGCTATCTGCCTACTTTGTGGACGGACTACGAGGACAAGTATGCTATGGAAGCCCCTGTGCAAGCTGCCAGGCACTCGGGAGTGGGCCTGGGCAAACTGAAAGCCACAACTGGTTCTTACTCTTTCTGACTACCGTGTGCAGAAACGTTGTTTGGGTTCCCCAGCTACCAGAACTGTGATGCAGATAAACTCTTCTTTATAAGGTAGTTGACCTCAGTTGTTTTGTTACAGTAACACAGTACAGACTAAAACTACAGAAGTCTCAAAAGGTACGTGGGCATCTTGGAGCTAGGGCTACTCTCAGCACTAGGACACCCTCCTCCTTGGCTCCAGTGGGTTTACAATCCCATCCTGAACACTGTCCTCTGATTTCCTGCAGACAAAGTGCAACTGGGCAAACTGTAGAAGTTCTTTTTACCGAGGCAACTGTGTGCTGCCCCCTACTTCCCTACTGTGTGCGCTAGCCTCTACCTTTCCCTAGGTCCCCAGTGTCACGGCCCCGCTCTAGCATGTTCTGTCTTATGTGTGTCCTTGTACGAGCTGTGTGACCACTCTACCCTCTGGCTGGGCTCTGCTTGTGGTGGGATCCCCACTCTGGCTTTTGGGCTGTTATGCATGGCTGTACCAGATGCTCTTCCTACACACTGGGCAGTGACAGCTTCCCATGCGGCGCCTTCCACGCACTCCTGACCCGTAGGGTGATTTCTGAAGCTCTGCCCCCCCCAATGCATCACACTCACTTTGAAGTGCCGTGGGTACTGATACCCGTGGACTCTTCCCTATTTCACCCCACACTATACCTGTTACCAACTGTTGGTCTCTGAGTCCTGAAGCTTTGCCCTGCTTCCCTGTGGCCCAGCCTACTGCCCTTGTCTAATGGCAAGGCCCGCCTGAGTGGGCGGTATTTCCACACAGCAGCTGGGGGTCCTTGGCAAGCACCAGCCAGAGCTATTCTATTCTTTACTTCCAGGGGCTGCACGGGCTCACTCTCTCTTTCCTTATCTGTACTGTGACCTTTGACAGTGCCTTCCATTGTTGCTGGTGTCTGCCTCCTTCTCTGCTTAGTAGGCACTCGAGATTGCCAGCATCACAGCCATTTCCTTCACCACCCTCCCATAACCACATTCCTCACACAGCCAGAACCTAAGCCACGAGCCACAGAATCACGTCCTGAGCACGCATGGGGCTCTGACGTTGGCTGTGTAGCAGGCTCCCGCTCTTTCTCCCTGCCCCAGCTCTGTACCAAAGTCCTCCTTCCCCTTCCCTCCCACCCTGTGGGATTTCATGCTCACGCCCCCATGTCCTTCACACAGGTGCTGGAGACCAAATTCGGTCCCTGTGCTTACACAGTGAGCACTTTACTTGCTGAGCAGTCTCAGAAATGACCATGTTTGTCCCCTGCTCAGAACCCTCCAGCAGCTCCTGTTTCCTCAAGGTAATGGTGTGTGTGTGTGTGTGTGTGTTCTTGTGTGCACAACTTCACACACACACTCCCCCTCCCCACTCTGCTGCAGCCACTGTCTTCCTTGCTGCTTCTCACCCACGCTGGACCTCAGCTTTCTCCAGAATCTTCCATCACGTCTGCAGTAGGTTGCCCAGACCCTACGGCTGCCTGGGGCTCACTCTGTTTGCTTGTCACTTAGCTCCACTGTGTGCCAGTACTGACCACCTTCTCCACCACTGCAGGAGTCGCTCTTCATCCCCTCAGTCCCCATCCCTTTCCACCCTGGGCAGGTGACTCCCGGGCGGGACTTCTGTCTACTTTGCTTGCCTGGGACCCCCTTTCTTCATTTTTGCTTAGATGGCTGCAGCATCTCTGTCACCCTCCAATCTGCACACAGCTGCAGGAGGCTTTTTCTTAAAAGTGGTTTCTCTCCTCCGCCCTGTCCATTTCCAGTGGCACCCCACAGCACTAAGGACATGCTAAAATTCCTTCATCACAGCGAGTCAGAACGGCCTTTGTCTGCTTTCCTTCGATTTCACATTTAGCCCCAAGCAGGTCCTCCTACCTGGGCCTCTCTCTAGCT